TTTGAGGAAGAAATCGACAGACGAATTGGAGGAGCTTGTGGTGTTCTGCATGAACTGGCCTGATCCATTGTGACTAAAACAGGGCTCAGTCTGAAATCTCGGTGTTCAAGTCGATCTTTATCCCGGTGCTTACCTACGGTCATGAGTCGTTGGCGATCACTGAAAAACTTCGAACCGGGGTAGAAGCTGCTGAAATGGGCTTTCTTAGACGAGTCGATGGCTTTACGCGTCTCGACATGGTGCGGAATACGGGTATCTAGAAGAGCCGTGGTGTACAGCCTTTGCTTTTTCAGATTGAGTCACAACTGCGATAGTTTGTGATGTATTGTGAATGTCTCCAGAAAGGAAGGCAAAAGTGGTGTTTTTTGCATAACCGACTTGTAGAAGGCTTAGGAGACGGTAAAGATTTTCCTGGTGTAAATATATAGGAGTCTGTTCCAGACTCAAGTTGTCTTCTGCCGAAGCTCAGACTCCGGCACTGGATCGGAAACGTCGGAAGCTCTGTTTGTCGTTTCTGCCCCCTCGATCCGAACCGAGAAGGGGCAATGAAAGATGAATGAGTCAACATGGAGTGAATAATCTGTAAATAATAGTAAAAATTGTTCACTTGTTTCAATAGATTAACTTTAATTTATGACCGGTTCTTCGTTTCCTTCGCGGATTCTTCTGAGAGACATAATTTATTATAGGAAATAGTTATCTTTTACACAAACTGTTGTATTTGTTTTCTTAATGTTAGCCCAAGGCGTACGTTTGACTGGTATCTATTACTCTCCTTTGCGGTTTAGTTTTGACTTCTGCTGTTAACTGGTGTTCACATCTTTGCTTGATGCTGAAGCTAGTTCAAGAACGACTATAGTTGATGGAAATGAGCAGAAGTGTCTACCAATTACTGAAAATCCTATCCTGTACTAGCAGTGGTACAGATGCTGCAGCCGAACAGGTGATGCCAGAAGAAAGTTGTTTTCTCACTTGTGGAAATTTCGTTGGTTAATCAACTTGATATCTGTCGTACTGCGCTATGAACGCCCTTTTTTCGTTCGTTGACAGTCATATTCAAATATGTTATAATAAAGTATTTGGTTTCAGACATAATGTGGTAAATTTTTTGTTGATGAAGTAGTAGTGTCTTTATGAAAGTAAATTTAATCCTTTATGATTATCAGGTGTCGTCGGTAATACTTTGTTTTACTAAAACATGCTAATATATGGATTGACTATACTCATTATGATGCTCGCAGAATGTTGGCATTGAACCCTTTCACAATCTACATCTGGTTTCTAGCAATGGCAGAGTGATGCTGAATGAAATTAAATTATCTGACTGTCCCCAATTCTGCCGATGTGCCACCACCAGATAGACGACGGCGGGTTGACTCAAAGGCGAATTTTCACACTGAAGTTACCTTTGTTTCTGCACCTACTGTTGACTAAATGAATAGTTTGTTGTTTCATGCCTAATGCATTTGTTCTTAGCATATAATTCACGACCCCCTTTGTCTTAAATTCGAACATGCTAGATATTTGTAAAGAGTATTTTCTTGCATATGACACCGTCAACAGTGGGTCTAGATCTAATTTTAACATCCAGGCGATGGAACCGTTTCTCAGTGCATTTAATGCACAGATTTCTTTCAGATTTTTTTGATTTTTTCTGGTTGACGATATGATGGCCTGTTCTGTCTGCTTAGCGACAGTCGCACCATGGGGTTTCTTTGTAGCGTCACTTTTGCAGGTGTTTTCCAGTCTTGGCGTGGATCGTGTGGATCCAGTTGAAGGTTAGCCATTGTTTACGGGTCAAATTGAGCCCGGGCAGTGTTTTTGTCAAACCGTAAATTTGTCCCTTTGGCACGTTGAAGTTTGTCCAGATTTTTCTCCACTCATCACTGACGTCATTATGCTTTTATGTCTTGAGCGGTTTGCCAGATTGGTTTTCGTAGTTTGAGTCTTGCCATAGGAAAGTTCTTGAGGTCGTGATAAACAGACAGATCCAGATTTGGTTCATCCTGGATTGTGCAGTGCTCTCTTAGGTAGGTTTGGCTCCTTCTTATGTTGGATGAAGGTATGTTTGAGAATACTGGTAACCAGGGGAATAAGGTGCTCTGCTGTGTTCCTGTTATGACTCTCTTGGTGTTGCTGAGGATAACATCGAGGATCTGTGTGTTGGAGGCACTCTGCTGCACAGTATTTCCTTATTTCTTAGGGTATACAGTAGCAAGGACTGCTGTTCACAGGGTGTGAGCGTCAGATCCCCAGCTTGTTCCGGCCAGTTTCTGCCCGATGCTGTTCAGGGCTTTAGTCTCAGCACAGGTCCTTGGGATGTGTTCTCCGAACATCAGGCTGCGATCCAAGGTTACTCCCAGATATTTTGGGTTAGTCTTATTTCTTCCTTTGTCGCCACAGTGTCAGATGTTTAGAGCTGAATGAAATGACCTAAACCTTATTACCCAAGACTTGCCTTGAGTTATAACTGTTAGATTTTTATTGGCTTTTTTTAGCCTTTTGCGCCTGAACGATGGATTGTATTTCATATTCGGATTCATCCACACGGCAACAAAGAAACGAACAAAGATTTCACGTTCTTTCGAGTGTTTTGCAATGACTCCTCAGTGCAATACCGTGTCAAATTTTACCTCACTGATAGCCGTCATAAAGCCATTAAAACCACAACTTATACGGGGGAACATCAACAAGGTTTCTGTAATTACGTTCGTCGAAATGTTTTGATCTCACGCATCCAGCCATCCGGTAATGACCGGTTTTTTATCTAAATAGAATACTTTCTCCGCTTAAACAATACAGTTTGTTACATACGTTTTAGACGAATTGAAATTAACGGTTATGTTTTCCTTGGTGCAAGGTGTTATGACACGGTCGTTTAGCACAAAACCGTTTTCCCCGTTGCCTCTGGAATCAGAAGTGACGTTTATATAAGAAAACGCGTTTAAAGTTATGACCATATCATTTTGCAGGTTGCTCAAGATTTGGAGATATTCCGACATGAAGCGAAACTCACCGATTTTTGCATTAAAACGCACGGATGTGAGTTTAAGGTGCACAAAGCAATTTTATATGCCCGATCTCCGGTTTTTGCTGCAATGTTACAGCCACACACGGAAGAGTTTCAAACAGGTCGCGTTGTACTGGACGATATCGACCCTGTGGTAAATACGAAAAGCTTTTTGGCAGGTGAATGCCTTGCTTTTAATCAGTCAGATTAAGGTTATGGAAAATATAATTTGTTTCATTTACTGCGGAAAATGTCCAAACATAAACGAATATGCCGTAGATCTTTTCGCCGCCGGTGATCGTTTCCTTCTTGATGGATTGAAGAAGATGGGCGAATACGTGCGTTCGAAACTTTTTTTTTAATTAACGTAGTTCATGTAACATTCCCATTGTCTTCTAAGCCTGTTTAAAATATATGACTGAAAAAAATGAGTTTTCCGGTGGCTCAACATATGCGACTTAAATCTGCCAGATGGTTTAACGCCGAGAGCCTCCTCCAGAGCTTCATGTTTATGTGATTATTTGGATTGATCTTCATTGTTTCAATGGTTATTTAGTCCGTAATTAAAGTTCAAAAGACTTTGACGATGCGCCTTCTACCGTTTACAGATTTGGTCCTGATGCTGACTGCCTACTGTTGTTAACGTTGCTTTACAGTGTTTTCGAAGTGGATCCTATCTGTCCCCATTTCGTATTCTAGTTTCTTGATAGCGATAGGCGAATTGGACTAACTTGATTTTAGACATTGTTTTAGTTATGCAACGGTTTGTAATCAACGCGCTGATGATATTTGAAAAGGAAAGATAGTTTTCTTTTCGTGCTTTGATTAAAACGAGGAAACGTTGAACTTGTAGAGTGTCTCGAACTAACCGGTGCCAGTTAGTATTGGCGATGCTTAAACTTCGACAACCTCAGCGCCATATAAGCATCTGGATGATTCTACTCAGGCTTGACAATCGCTTATTTATCCTTCCTTCCTGAGGCTCCTTCTTTTGCTTAAAAGTTTTTGATGGAAGTACAGTTTGATTAATAGAAATCCATAAGTGAGTGTCAGATGAGAGGTTTGACTAGGGCAGTACATTTATAAAAATTTACTATAAACATCCTAAGGAGAGCTCAGTAAAGAAAAAAGCTTCACGTGGAATATATGGCACAGGCTCAATGGATTTGCTTTTAGTACAAAAGGCAGACGCGAAGTCTATCTTTCCTACTGATTTGAGTACTGTGTTGATTATAGCTGAACACTTATAAGCATATAAGTATAGTTTGAGAATTCCGATGATATCTGATTGCCTAGACGAACGCATGGTTTTAGTCCTCTTTCGGTCCTTTCTGTCCTTTCCTTATAGAATGTCTTTGTCATACGTTAACTACAAAATGAGAATGAAATTGTCATTTTGCGGTTTCTTAAGTCTGTTTACAACAGCTAAATATTTTTCGATCTTTATTGTTGTTACAGTAGGAATAAAGTCTCGTTTCTAAAGGGTATGTCGTTCTCAGTTATCATTAATATGATTTTCTTTTTTGGAGGCATTGCATGACGCTATCAAAGTAGAAAATGTTTGCGAGATACTTTCTCTATCCGATACATATAACAGCGAAGCTTTGAAGACTGAAGCACTTAATTTTTTTGCACATAATTTGTCTGAAGCTGTGCAGGTTAGTCAGCTTGTATCGAATTCGATGTTGTAAATATATGATTGCAGACTGATGGATGGAAGAAACTGATCGAATCAAACCCTGCGCTAGTCACGGAAGTAATAACCGCTATCGGCACTCAAAACAGTGTTATCAACTATATGCCAAAACCCGTGGTGAAGAAACGTCGCTTTTCATCTGTCGAATTGCAGTGATAACAGATTATTCATAAATGTTTTTCTGATTTGGGAAGAGCTTCCTTTTCTTTTTGACAATGCAAGCAACGATTGCAGCGTTTCTCTTGTGTTTATGTGTATATATGTTCAGCTGCTGAGGCATATATTCGGATTTGATTTTTTTAACGCATTTCTCCGCTTTTTGTTGTTGTCAGCCATAAAGTGCCAACAACACAACTTCGAAGCATAAGCGCTTGAGAGACTTGCTGTGAAGTAGTGCACCTTTAGGTCAGGTGAGTGGTTTCACCACTCTCCCATGACATTCGGCAGAAGTTGTTCAGTCAGCTTGAACGAAATTTGCGACCTGTTCACCATCGGTAACAGCTGCCATTCACGAAGCAGAGTTGTCTCTAACCAATGAGTCTGACTTCTGAAATCATCGCGATATTGAGATTATGCTGACCGATCGTGTGAATGGCATCATCCAGATTTCCTTTAAATTTAATGATATTATATTCCATTTTTCAATGCAGAACTATGCTTTCGTAGTGTTTAAGACTGATTCGATGGGTTTTTTGATAAAGTTTTGTTTCGCTCACGGTTTATGGTGACCTATGCACCAGAACGCGTTGACGACGTGATTGTTCGTCAGTATTGTAATATGAGCAGTATTACAACGAAAAGTATTGCAATGTTATTTATCTCTTCTGGAGTAGAGGAAACCCGTAACCGTTTTGATGGCTGTGTCCCTTACATGATTGGGTTCAGTATCTGACACTGTTCGTTAATTTACGAGACCGGGTTTGTTCGATCGGCACAGCGTTAGGCGCTGAACCGAGAGGTTCACGACTTGAATGCCGGTTAGGTTAGTCAACCGAATCAGTTCTTTCTTAGGGTAATACATACGGACGAACCTATCGGAAGGAATGGATCACGTGCTGTTCTAGACTATGCTATTGTCAGAGATTAGCAGAGTAACCCTGATTTATGTCTGACATGGTATCTCAGATAAATGGTATCTCAGATAAATTGATGTGAGGCAATACCACTGCTACAGCAAAGCTCATACTCTCCGTCGCAGGCAGGTCTGTCGCAACCCGGTGTTTCCATGTTTTGTATTCTCTTTGAGCGCGTTTGTGGCCATTTGGCGGTTTCCAGAATAAGTAAGTTTGAGTTCTCTTTTAGACCTGTTTTATCAGGCCAAGTCAGGCGCCGGTTTCTAAATTCATTTAATAGTACTCATGCCGCTGAGCGTCAGTACCTGCTCGTTCGTGACACTGAACTTGACATTGTTCTGTACCAGCGTTGTTGAATGCTGTCTAGAGGATATTTATGACTTTTAGGAACTACAGAATGTTTCGAGACTGTATGTCAGAATCGCGAATACGGCTGCCTTCAAAACGGTGATCGTATCCTAAATGGCATCGTATCCTTTCTTATCGTCCAGTTCTTCCATATGTGATATAGCTTGCCATAATTCGCTGATGCCAGTACGATAAGTTGATTCACGTTAGGATCAGTGTCGCACTCGTTAGTCAACACAGTTGTGAGATTTTCTTGAGATAATCTACTTCTGCCGTCATAATACCTTTCCATAATATCCTTGGACCGCCGGCCAGGGATGGCACTCACAATATTCGTGCTTATAGCAGTTGCTTGTGGCCGCACTTCTATAACTGTGTTCCACACGCTTTCATCGAATGTCAGTGGTCCTCTTGCAGAGTCGCTCAGCGGCGTGACGTCATTGGCACACTCAAGGTCTGTTAGGAATACCGCTGGGTATCTTGAGTTGCCTCACCGATCTGGATCAGACCCTTGTTATTTAGGATTGCACATTTTCGCGCAATCTAGTTAGCCATGATGTTCAATAGCAAAGGAGAGAGATCTCAGCTTTACGAACTCCTCTGGTAACGCTGAATCATCTTGAGAGTGATTCTTCAGTTCTAATGGCGCATTTAGTCCCCTAATGCATACCTATTAGGATTTCCATCGCCTGTGGAATTGCAGGAATGACAGATAACGTGCCACATTGTCTGACGGTGAATTGAATCGAAGGCTGCCCGAAAGTCCAGATAAGTCGCGTGCAGGAAAGTAGGAAACTCCGACACTGATCGATGCTTCATTTCAGCGCAAAGCTGTCTGTGTGAGGCCCACTTCGAAAGCCTTCTTGGATAGTTCGCAGCAAACTATCGTCCGAGGATGATTCACGTGAAGAACTTCTCCAGCACATGCACGAGAGTAATTCCTTGTTTGTTGGTACATTCGGTGCAGCTGCCGCTCTTGAACGCAGGAATTATTACGCCTGTGTTTCAGGCTTCGGCGCTCACCGATTTTTATCAGATGTGGTCAAAAATGAGGTAAATCCAATGGGAAAGATTTTCACCTTGGTACTTCAGATTTTCCGCTCCCAATTACGTCGTATCTACAAAATATCGCCCTTC